CCCACATCATCACAGAGCATCATTCCTTTGCACATCTTCTGGCGTTCTTTAGGTCTTAAAATATCCATACTCGCTCCCTGGCTGCCATTAACGACAGTAATATAACTGTGTAGCTTAGGTAGTTGTAAAGGTGTTTACTGGATACCCGCCTTTTACTGTAGCATACATTTTTGCTTGACCTTCAAATTAAAACCCTGTATCCTTGCCAGGCAGTAGTGGCTCAAATATTAAAACAACAACATTTGCAATAAAATGGAAAGTGAATGTCTGCACAAATATATCAGGCACATTTTAAAGGTGTTAGTGCCCAATATAACATCCCAACATAAAAACAACAAAAACAATACAAAAAAATATGCTGGACAAAGAGGGACCCTGCAGTGTCTCACTACTAAGAGATGACAGTAAGCAACTAAAAAGACAGTCAGTTCACCACCACCCATCCATCAACTATTATTAGTACAAGACTCCTTCCTCCATTTTTTTTATTTGAGATGTTTTGTACATTGTTTTATTATTCTGTAGAATCAATCATTTAAAAAAAAATATTTTTCTCAAATCTATACACACTGTATTGAAATATTCACTATTACAGTACATAGAAATTGTTGTAAAATAGGATTTTTATGTACAAATGCTGAGTAACAAGATACCAATAATAAAAAATATGTAATAAAAATTTTGGATCTTCCTAAAGCTATACACTAGACACTAGAATACGCAGCTGTAAAAAATGTATGTAGAATACAAATAAGCCTTAGGGAATTTGATATAAAAAGCTCATTAAGACATTGTGTCAGCTTGGATCCCTTCTCCTGTTCCCTTCCTGTTCGAGCTGTCTCCTTTGACAAAGACTCCCTTCTCTAAGGCTAAGGCTAGGCAGCACACACCAGGTACCACACAGAGCTAGCCAGACACACAGCACTATACTCACCCCAGAAAATGTGTAGAGACACTCCCATACATAAAAACTACGCTTTATTATTACTCTTTCTCTTGAGCTCCCTTTCTTGTCATGCTTGTCTAATCACTCCTCAAAGCTTTGAAGAGTTATTAGTGCAGGGGCAGTGTGGCAAAGAGCAGAATGTGAAAACAGGCATGGTAATGAGCTTTCTTTCTTCACTTAAATATCTAGTTATGTGTACCCATTCTGCTTCAGTCACTGATAACTCCTCCTTGTCCTCCTTGATATACCAGTATTTTTTCTGTCCCTTATTCCTCTTGTTCATGTTGCTTTGTTGTTGATCTTTTCTTTGTCTTTCTAAGTGTGATCTCCTGGCAGCACTAGCATGCAGAGTGCTTTCAGAGATAGTTACAGCAGTCGGTACTGAGCTGCTCTGACCTGTCTGCACACCTCAGGTAAACATCTTATTAGCTTTTTCTGGGTACTAAGCTAAATTAATAAATTGGGCAGTGACAGTAACTGCCCTTTGTCTCTGCATCCAGCAGAGGTGGGTAGAACACTTATGAAAAATCCTCATGCTAAATGTGTAGTTACTTGTGTTTCCCAGCCCTCCCCATCTTTCTGCTAGTTATTTGGGGGGACCCTAAAAGACTAGGTTATTTAGTTAACTAAATATGGTTTAATGGTTTAAAATGTTTTTGAATACTTTATTGTACAGTAGGTATCATGATTTTATTCTACATTTATCATAGTGAAGCACAGTGACTACTCAGTGACTACACTCAGTGAGGTTTATTGATTTGTGTCCTGATCAGGGGGTAATCTCTGAATTTCACTGAATTCCCCCAGTGGTGAACAGCACCACAGTGAGGAAAACGCTCAGTCTTAATTCCACAGAAGTCCACAAAGAGCAAAAAATAAATTCTGTGTTCTTAAAGTAGTAAATAAATCTTTTCTTTTCTGTCTGAAAGGTCACATTTGATATGCTCTGAAAAAAACGGTGTCCTGAGTGGTAGTGAACTTTAGACTTTATTGAAACTGAAGAATATCTATGTATATATGCTTGCTGGACATTTACTTTCAATAAAAAACTTAAGCCATTCATTTGCCGTGTCATTATGTGATATTACAGTGGTAGACCTAGACAGATCAATTTGTCAGGAAGCAGGGAGTTAGATTTCTAAATGCATTCCTTTCAGGCAATTGATATTTTAACAAAATCCAGTAAAAGCAGCACCCTAGGGATAGGGCAGCTAATTCATCGTACTTGAACTGTGGTGATAACAAATTGATCCTGAACTATTTAACAGAAACTCTTCCAATAAATTCACACCAAGTGTGATCCGGAACCCTGCCGACCTCATCTCTGCAATCACTCACACAGCCACTTGCTTCTAGAGACACAACTGTTCAGACAGAGTTCAAGGCACAGGAGAGTCAATCAAAAATACATTTTACTTGAGTTTTCAAGGGCCCCTCTCAGACTTCTTGTCTGATATGGAAAGAAATGGTTTTCAAACTTCAGAGAGAGTGGGTAGTGAGCTACTTTCAGGCCTACAGGTACCTGAAATCCATTACTAGATGAGTTTTGGACTTCACTGGAGTCCCTTCATCTAACGTTTTTTTTTTAGATCTTACTTAAGTCTGACTCATTTCTAAGCACCAGAATGCTTATAATGGCATTCAATACCATCTAGCTTTACTACGAAAATTGGAATTTTATCCACCCATTCGTTTTTTTTAAATCCGCTTATCCAGTACAGGTTCGCGCGAGGGAGCCAAAGCATAACTCGACAAGCAATGGGTGCAAGGTGAGATAAGCGCTGGATGGGACATCACTCCTTCACAGGGCCAGTTGGAATTTCATGTTAAAATAAATGAATTAAAACTAAGTTTCAGTAGCTCAAACTTATAGTGACTAATGACACACTGGGACAGAAAACAGGCATTTTACTAGCTCAGTTAGAGATTACTCAGAGTTCATTAAGATGCTTCATGGTCAAGGTGTCAGAGAGTATGTGAGGGATGTGACTGCACCCAATTTTAACTTATGACTTAACCCACTTGTATGGCTCCAATATAAATCCAGTTTTTAATTTATTTTAATCTCTGTATTCTGCCTGATATTGAGTCAACTGTAGCAACATAATTCAAATAAATATCTGAATGCAATCTACTAGCAGAAACTGTTTTTTTAATTCAAAATAAATCATGGCAATAGCTGTCAGTCAAAACTTAGAGCTACTTTCTGCGTCGAGCATTATTGAAAAACGGATTATTACATTTCCATTCAATGAGTGAAAGCATTTTTTGAGAAGTTGTTTAGAAATCAAGTTGTCACTAGAAAAAATTAAATTTAAGTGTATGTGACAATAAATATTTCTGAAAAAAAATTACATCCAACTTTAATTTTGTATGCAAATTCCATCGTAACAACTGCTAGCTTTCCATAGCATAGTGAATTTGGCTAGAAAAAAAAACATATTTGGACTGGAAGAGTAAAGTAGAAACTTAATTCAATCAGTTGTCAACTTACAGTACATGCCATGTCTTTCGGTTTTCTGTTATAAAGGCATGTGAGTGCAAGGAAAACATATAACTTGCAAGTAATAAGTTGACCTGATTTCCTGAGGGTACAAAGAGGTCAGGAACATAACTTACTCATCTCTTACTTGATCAAATGTTTTTTCCCCTCAAGTGCCATTGTAGCTAGTATAAAAAGGTTTATCCAGATTCCCAAATTGGAACTGCTGGCAATTTCATTTGCAATCCAAGTGCACTACCAATTGAAAATCATGTAGATCTTTATATGTAAGTGAGAAGCATATCATTTATTTTACTTGATTATCCCCCAGATTTTTTATTTATAGATTTCATTAAATGGTACTGTGTACATGGGTATATCTTGGTTAAATTGTTAGGTTGAAGTAAGGATCTAATGACAGAACATGTAGGAGAACGACAACTAATAATATTACTTAACAAAATCTCAATTCAAATTTACCTTATATCAAAAGTTGAGAAACATAGAAGTACATATTTTTACAGTATCATACCTACAACCATAATATTTTATCAGAAGTGTAACAACCTCTTACACTCCATTATGTCACAGCGTTACTAATCCCTATGCTACTGTATATCCTCAAATAGCCTGGAGAATCTAGGGTAGATTTCTTTCTAGAACAATGCCCTTGAAGAGAAACACAGCAGCTAAGCCAAATAACTGGGCTCTTTAGTTTTCAATTCATCCACAAAGTATTAACTCATTAATCATACACTCCATCCAAAATAAATTTTAATTTTACTTGGATCATTTTTTCAAAGCACACAGCCAAATTGGATTTCTTTTTTTTTCCTTTTTTCATCACAATTTTTTAATCCAAGAAGTGGAAAATGCATTTCACGTTTCATCCCTATAACACAAGTGGTACATATCTATCTAAATGCAAATATCCCATCTGCATTGTGTTGAAAGGGCACAATAAAACTATAGGTGATCTATCTTTTTTCAGGGACATATAAGAATTAGCATTTATGAAAGCACTTCACACTGCACTAGATCCCATCCAAAATAACTTTACCTTAAAGTGTAAGTGTTAGGCATTATGAAAAATTAACACATATCAATTACAGCTCGTTGCCTAGTGTAAAGCAGATAAATCCTTGCTTTTCCTTCCCGTTACTACTCCTTACAGTGCCTGTGAGAGTCTGAAGTTAACCAAAAGTAACATGAATGATAAGAAATGCATACTAAGTTAAGGCAACATCATGAAGAAGGGTCTTTTAGCTTAGAGCTCTGGAACCCCAATAGAAGTCTAAGGCAGAACCTGCTACCTAATCAGCCCTCAAAACCAAATACATTCCCGACTCCAGGGATGACCATGCATGGGTGTTCTTGTTCTCTCTCTGCCTGTGTCCTAAACGTGATAATGACATTTTTATATAACATGAAAAAGCTTGTCGTAATGGAATTTTAGACAAGTAAAAATGTATACCAAAACAAAGATATACAGCAGCAACTCTCTCTGAAGCTCAAGCTTCCATTTCAATTTCTTTGATCAGCATTGGGTGAACTCATAAACGCACTGCTTACCTTTCACTCTCATCCCATGAAATGCAGGTCTGGTTGATGGTTCCCTGTGTAGAGAGAGAAGACGTTCACAGAGGGTTAGGAGAAGGGCATACAATTCATGTCTGTCACTACAACTATCATTACACATGCAGGAACTCCAAAATCAAAACTTCCTACTGCTACAATTCTCTGGGTAACTGTAAATGGCTGATGAGATTCAAAAGCTTTGGGGATACCCAGAACAGGACGGTTAATCAAGCAATAAAATAAACAGCGTTTATCATGTTATTATTATTTCTTCGATACAGCAAAGTATTCTGCACTGTTGTAAGTGTTTGGAACCTTTATCTCACAAAAAATGTATACTTATTCTTAGTATTGTAAGATGTTGAATACTGTTGAATTGATGAAGGCTGTTTTGTCCTTGACAGACCAGATAGAAGAGAAGTTGTGTGGATCTTTTAGAAGTCAAGCTGGAAATGTAGATTGTAGATGTAGGATAGTGGAAGACCACAAAAAGTGCTAGAATTATAATGATACAATTTGGAAGAAAAAATGTTTTTTCCAAGACAAGCTTCTGCTTCTATTGAGTCCTGTAGAATATTTATGGAACCAATTTACCAATATCTTCAACAGGGGACATCTGCGACTGGCCAGCCTTTGCCAGTTGGCAAGGACCTCGGTGATTAACAACATTTTAGACCTATCTGTACCACTGTTGGCACTTGCCTGGTATCAGGTCAGACTAGGACACATCTGTGCTTGTGGAGGAATTAACTTGTCTGATTTTGGTGCGTAAGGGAAAGGAAGTACTCACGTTGTACAGGTGAGAGAACTCAATCTCAACAGGAGCTGATAAAGAGCCAGGGTTGGGCTTGATCGTGACTGAAATCACCTTAGAGTTGAGCACAGTGCTGTTCCTGAAAATCAGAAAATGCTGGGTCACACAACAGCATCAATAACAACAGACATAATCACAAACAACATCTGCTCCCTGGCTTAGACCACAAATGAAATTCTCCCCCATCTGCACAAAAACAAAAATGTTTCTCTCAGGGCACTCTGCATGATGTCCTGTGGTATATCTCTGATATTTCTGTGTGTTATCAGTCAAGTTAAATGTCAGTGTTGTGTAGCTGTATCTCAGCCCCAGGACCTGAAATCTGATTGTCACTGCTTTTATTTTCTCTAGATGATAAGAATAATATTGGTTTTATATTTATGTCATTTACATACAAAATAAACAAAAATAATAGTTCTCTTATGAAAATAATTTACTGGTGACCTACTGTATAAGTCTCTATGAAAATGTCACAATTCTTTGTAGAAGACAATATTTATACTTATATTTTTTAGGAAGGTTTATTTTTTATAAGGATTCATAAATTTTAATAACATTTTTGGAGTAACAATGAAATGAAGTCTACAAACCACATCTTTCAATTATTCTCAATCAGTTGCTTATATAGAAGACAGAGTATGTCTACTCTTATATTGAAGCTCAGTTAGTTGATTGGAATAAAACCCTGTCTTACCGTTGCAATGAAAGAATGTTGCCCAGGTTTCTGTATAGAACAATCCCCGTCACAAACACAGAGGAATCATCTACATCTGCAAAGAGTAACATCATCATAATCATCACTATTAATAATATTAAGAAGAAGAAGAGGTTAGGTCTGTTTAAAGTTATCCTATGCACTGTACTTTGTAGTGCACTATAGCAACAGTTTTATACTCTCAGTCCTCAAACACCTACATAAGATTATTATACCACTCAGTCTGCTGATGTGCAACCTGAAGCAGTTAACCCATGAGATCAATAAAAACACCATTAAAGATATTAACTTTATCCACAACCTCAAGGACTAAATCCAATAGCCAGTGGGGGCTCAGATGATCTGCTTCACATGAGAAAGGAGACAACAGACTGTACACAGGATTAAAAGCAATGGATACAAATGCACTCTGTAGTTCTCATTTGTGTAGCCCTCACAACTTGAATAAATGTGCTTAAATAAAATAATACTTATTTTAAAAATATTTTTTTATCACCATAGTGTAGTAAAAAGCATTTCTAAAAATGATGTAGTCTCCCATACTGTATTTCAAAGAAGGAAGAGTGCTGGAAATGTTAATCCTAGACAGGCATCTGAGCTCTCATGGGTATGTGGCTGTAGCAGAGGAGTGGAGGGAATAATTCTTTCATATTTGTATGTATATTTATTTTTTATGTCCTGAAGCACCATTCACGTACTCTTGGAACTAATGTCTGCTGGCCTCCGTTCAATAGAAGTCTTTGAGACTGTATGGGACCTGCATGCTGCCTCTTAACTAAAACAAATTAGTATGTAAACTAAGTGAAATTTAAATTTCTGGTATATTCTCTTTTTTGTCAACAGCTGATCAACATAATTAATGAGTAAGGAAGATGTATGAATTAGCAGCTTCATAATATGGCCAACTGCAAATTCATAGCAATAGCATAAAAGAAATAGCACAAATACAAATCATTCAGGATAGTTTTCATATAACAATTCTAGTATTTTAATGGTTTCTAATGATAAGGCATTCAGAGTGGTTTGTTTCATAATTCATTTTTAATTTAGGGGGTTTAATTTAAAGGCCAGGTGAACAATCTCATCTTGTCTGACACCAAGTGTCTGGTTGATCTGAGGCAAATGGGAAACCCTACCTGGAACAGTATGTGGTCTTTTTAGCTAGTGAGAAAATCTGAAATCAGGTTCTTTGTTTCATTGCTTCAGACTCTGAGATTTGCAGATCCAATCAATATTAATAAAAGCATGATGAAGACTCTTCAAACAAACAGAAGATGCAACTACCAAACTTCTGTGTAACAAAGAAGGGGCTAGTCTTGTCCATCTCAGCTGATCAACTGAAAGCCTAAAGCAGTAAGTCATATTAGTCCAAATCGCAATTGAAATTCTTCAAGTAATCCGTTTCAGGTAAGGAAATTACTATATACTCTTTCTATCAGTGGCAGCTCTTACTGCTGGAGAAAAGTTCCCGAACTGACTGTGAATAAAACTTTTCTGGATAAGAGTTATACTATGGAAACCTACCACAGGAAGATTCATATGCACTCAATTGGCAGCTGCTGACATTTGACTTTTAGGAGCATGTAACCATGCTGGGCTTTCTTTACCTATACAAGTGGATAAAGTCCTGATTTCTACACTTTATTACAGAGTGGTCCAGTTGGTGGATTTACTGTATAGAGGCCTTGGAAATCTCCTCTCCCTTTATGCAATGATACAGAAAGAAGCTGACTGTGATTTTCTTTAAAACCTTTTATATATTGTCACAGTTTTTGCTTGAGGGAGATTTTCCTTTTTACAGTAAGATTACATTCATCACCTGTGGGGTATAATATGCAAGAGGCTAGAATTTCACTTTCTTCTTCCATGTATACACTACCTGGAAATGTATACATATAGTATATTAGAAAGATTGTGCCTCAGAAAGTGTGCCATTTTTATGGATATTCTATTATATTCTGAAATACATCATGCATAATAATCTTTCTTATGGCTGTATGTGCTGAAAGATTAGTTTCCTCCAGGGTTTACATGGAAACAGAAATGACAAAGGCTGGTTGTGGAACTGTGGCAGAGACCAGGACAGAAAAAATAACTAATTGAAATGCAAGCACAAGACAGAAAACAGGTGAAAATCAGGGTGATTTGTTTTAAGGTAGATGTAAAATATAAGAACAAGAAGTTATTTTTTATTCTCTTTTTAGGAAATTAGAGCTTGCAACTGAATTGGAAAAAGTTGAGTAAATTGTGCACTGGAACAAAAAAGCTTTTGAAAATTGCTCCAAGAGTGTGAAGACTTGAGGTGGGTACTGTGATCTTTGTGAGATCAAGTGAGATGGCTTTCTAGTGATGAAGTGCATGCTTCTTGTATGAGGTTCAGGTGTTGATGAAGCAGCCTCTCAAAGAGTACCACACCTTTTTATGAAAAGCAGGTGTGATCACAGTCATTCCCCTGCAAGGAAACTGGCAAATTCAAAAAAGATTGAAGAGGCTGATAGAAAGCCAAATAACACGTGAGCAAGGCACAGGTCAGGATCCTGACAATGTTCTCTAAGGTGTTTGAAGGTGATAACCATCACAGCTAAAGACTGTATTTTCTAAATTGCACTGTGGAAGGAACTAAATCACCAGCATATATTCAGTATATGTAGTTTGTATATATTCTACATTATATATCATTCAAGGGCTTATGAAAATTAGAAAACAATACAAAAGGCATTTCCAGATATACCATAGGTTAATTCTTATTTTGTAACAGGGTAAATGAAATTAATTAACACTTCACAGGGCACGTAAAGTTAATTAGCACAGCAGATTTCTAAAACAAATGTTAACTTATGACTATAATATGCCTGTAACCCATGTGTGTTGTCATTTTGGCCTTACCTGGTTTGCCCAAGGACAGAGCATTCCTGGAGACAATGACCTTATCTTCTGCGTTCCGTGCCCACTCTACCATTCCTCTCCAGCCCTTCATGGGAAAGTTGATATCAGTGGCCCCACTAGCTGGCCTCTTGTGGATGCTGAGCACTGAGTCAGAGAAAGGAAACAGTGGGAGATGAGTGAGGCTGATCTCTATCACCATGGATACCACAAACAACCTTCCCAGCATCCTTGTGAGAATGCCACACAATGATGCCAAGGCTCCCCAATATGCCACCCGCTGCATAGCAATGCCTCACCACTATAGGTGTCAGAATAGGGCTGCCAGATCAATCTGGCATCTTTCCTCTGGTTTCTCTTTTGTTTTTATTGAACCACTGGAGCCTGTGCTAAAGTCCTTCCATCAAAATCACTGTTCGGCACATTAGAGATGGAAAACATACTTTTACAGACGGAGGCATCAAAAAAGAAAGGGTTGTCAAAAAGTTCTAGATTCAGGGATACATTTTTAAAATTAATTTCAAAATAATCAATTGCTTGCTGCACTGAAAAAGGCAATGAAAGAAAGAAAGTGTTTCCCTGCTGCCTGTTTCCCCCTGCACCCACAGCCTACTGTACATCACAGACACTGTATCCAGGATGGCACTGGTGATCTGCAGAGGAGGCATCTGCTGTGTGGGTTTCAGCGCTATCACTTCACGTGTTGTTTTGCCCTAAAGGTAATCTGCATGGATGACGCAGAGCATTTACTTTTTACCACCTTTTTGAAAACCAACAGGAGTCTCCATTGGTGCCTCCCCCACAGTCCACGTGCAGAAGATAGAACAATGTGACATGCTCTCAGTGTCACTCAAACTAAACTAGCAGGAGTGATTTCAACTCCTAACACTTTCACATCATTCACGTGTCTTTGTTTCCTAAATTATATGCAACATAATTAAAGATTACTTACTAAGTCTACTAAGTCTTTTACACTGGAAATGTGAGCTTTTGAGGAGTTTGTTCCTCTGCTTTACAAAGGTTTTCTTCTATGTTTTACAGAGAAAGATACGTTTCCACAGGAAATGTAAGTTCCATCTTTGTGTCTGTTGAAATCCAATTTATACAGCAAACTTTTACAGGTTTCTAAATAATAGGTTTTTAAATAATGAGGAATCTAGATTTTAGTTCTAGATGACATTTCATATATGTACAACAAAGGCAATACGTGTGTGGTTGTAAATTGAAACAAAGAATGTAAAAAATACAAAAGGACTTTATATATCATATTAAGTGAAATTTGACATAATCACAATGATTTAAAAATTAAAAAATAAATATATTGCCATAGACAATGCAGCAGACTTAGTAATACAAGGTAATTGAATTAATGGACCATTCTTTCTGTTATTTTCTCAGTTGTACTTTGGCCACAGGCTGGTATTCAAAAGAACAAATATGTACTATCACAAAAGGCTGTAATTTAACTGAATAACTAAAGTATCGAATTGGTCAATTGACATATTCTGGTAATCACATTTTAAATACATTCATATAGAGCCTTTCTGCACATTTAAGAACCTTAAGACATTTCTTATTGCCCAGTACAAGCATTGCCATTTTCATAGCCTTATCTGGGTCAGGCAATGTTGTGTTGGCACACATGCAGCAATATGTCTTCTGTAGTGTAACTGGCCACGAAGGTGAAAGGCCACCCTGATAGCCCTCTCCCAGGGGCTGTGTATGTCTGAGACTGCACCCCTGAAGAAAGTGGGATCAATATTATTCTTTATCCTGACTGAAACAATATCAGCTGAGTGCTCAATGAGGTATAAAAATGAATAAAGTTTTTTTTCCACCAGCAACTCTAAAAAGTGCATAATCAGCTGTCCTAGAATCACTCAACCTTTCCTGCCTGTTATCTGTCTAATCTTAACACTAAACAAAGCCGGATCTAGAGTACGCTTTCACTGTGTTACAGGATTTTTAACAAAGATTTAAGAGTATTATTTTAAAAATGTACTTTTGGGGAATTCAGAAATATTTTTTATTTTCAGACAAGACATGTTATTATCCAGTTTCTACTCAGTATGCAGCATTCACGTGGAGAAAACCTCTTGACAGCACCCTGTTCTGGTTGAACTACAGGAGTGGTCCATCTGCTGACTCCCTACCTCAGTAACAAACAAGTGCTCCCTTTCCCACACAATACACAATACACAACACAGGAATGATTAAAAGAATGAATTAACAGGAGCTTCTTAATATTAACATACTGTTTTTAAATTGCCAATCTGTATTGCGAATGCTATACTGTTTCCATATCTGTGAAATATAATTGATTACTCCAATTAAAAAAGAGTGCTCTATTCATGGATACTGAGAATTTTAGATCTGTCAGAATCAGAATGTTTCAGAACAGACAAAAAACACAAACAAAATACCAATATAACTGAAATAAAAACAAGAAAAATATTGATAGATCACAAAGAGGCTTTTACAGCAATTCAATGACAAGGCAGTACAAGTGTTTGCAGAGCTGTACCTCCCTCAAAGAGCTTAGTACATGTTCACCACATCAAAGATAATCTATCCTGCACTCAACACTGCTCACACACTGCCAGAGTCTACAAAAACTCAAAACCATTTTCTGTAACACTAAGGCCTTCAGTGAATAATATTCAGTATGATTAAAGGGCTTATGGGAAGCAACTTGTAATTATTCAAAGTTGTTATCCTACTGTGTTTTCCTGCTTATACTTTGCAAATGGACAAATGACAAGCATGTAAGCACAAATTGTTGACTCTGCATAAGTTGCTATCTGAGATCTACAGTAGGATTACTAGATCATAAAGTTTATGAACATTTACAGGAACACAATCTGCTTCTCCAAAGAGAAAGCACACGTACCCAAGTTCTCTGTGACCTGATACGAGTCTCTGAAATCCTTCATACGGAAACCAATTACTTCGATGAAGTCCTCTACCAGACGGAAGAGCTCTTTGACATTGGGACCCATCTGGAAATTAAAAGAATGTTATCCACGAAACTCCACAAAGGGCTGCTTGAGATATTTTTACGTATCTTGACAAATATTTAAAAATTTGCTGGATGTGCTGAGCATTTTATAATGTAAATTATTATAGCCTGCCTATAATAACCTATTAAAACTAAAAACCTTCAGCAAAATATTTTCCAGATACTGATTGTAGTTTTTCAACTCTTATTTCTTATTTTATCTTTTCCAAGCACAGTATTGACAAATACTAGTGCTGAAGCAAAGCTTTGAAAATGGTCCTATGAGTGTTATCAGAAGCATGTAATCTTTGAGGTTTAACAGGTGGGTGGGTGTTTATCATTCTCTTCAATATTAACCGACTCCTGCAATATTTTCCATTTGTGGCCATTGTTCTGCCCAATGGCTGAAGCTAAGCTTGTGAACCATTAGATGTTTGGATGGGGGCAGTTTTCAATTCCCTGTACCTCCATTGTACAAGATTTGGAGAATCTGTGAAAGTGATCAATCAAAATCTTTATATTAGCTTTAATATCATGGATTGTTACTGTATTAAAATGATCACTTTTAATGATAACATACTGCGTTCCTTTAATTCTGATACAATTCCCTTTCTGTTTTATAATCATAAGTTTGATTAATATAATAATGTACATTACAGGATCAAGAAGGGGGGATAAAGACAAATGAGATAAATGCATAGGAAAATATGTAAAGTGCTAACACACCTTTGAATTATGTTGCATATTCAATTCTGGAGAATTTCCATGATTCTTGAAAATTGCTACTCTAATGGTTTCTAATCAGAAATATGTTTCTCTACATGAGCTATTAAAGGGAGTATTTACAGAGCAACAAATGGGATGAATCATAGCAATTCTGCTTATTTAAAATTGAATACAGTGAACAGATCAGTACACTTGGAGGAGTTATGATACAGCTGTTCGATTGTTAACAGTCTGAATTACACAGAGAGATACTTACTAGTTGAGCTTCCTCCCATCTCTCCCTGTTCTCTTCTGACAGCAAGTTGCTCACAGTCTGAACAAAGTTCTGCAATTCAGGAAATAATGCAGGGTTATCATGTTCAGCTGGGACACCATTTTACAGATAGAGATACAATTACATTAATTTAGAAACTGTTGCTTGTATTATGGTTGCAGCCACCCAGTGCCCTTTATGAAGGATGTCGAAGGATACTGCATTTCTAAATATTTCTGGTTAATGACTGGAAAAGGAATGCCTATATGTCTGAAGGTCTTCAGTCACCTGCTCTTTCTGTCTTGTCTTGCATACTGTTGTTGCATACTAAGAGTGCAAGATGGACAAACATCTATACTGGTATGGAAAATAGAGTGTTCTTTGAATGTCTGTATTAATCTTGCAATATTTACAGTACTGCATTATACTTTTTATAATGCATTATACATTATACTGCAGTGAAATTATGCAAACCATCTAGCAGATACCTTACAAATGCTAAAACAAATAAACACAACCAGACTCTGAAACAGAAAGCACACATCAACACAGGCTGACAATCACAGAGATCCACACAGATAAACAATCATAGGAAAAGACATGCAGGAAGGTACTTTTTTAAAGAGGTGCATGTACTCTTAGATAGCAATGGAGCCGCACACACAAGCAGAGAGGTACTGACCTGCATATCTTCTGTTCTGGGGCTATAATAAGTTCTTCTGAAGATCTCTGTCATATTCTTTAGCACATCCATGATGGCCAGGATGTCACCACTGTAACTTGTTCCATCTTGAGAGGTCTCTGTCAGCTTGGCAATGACCTCTGACACCCCTTCACCCAGCCGCCCTCGCTGTGCCATTGAGAGGAGGTCCCGTGTCTGCAGTAGAGAATTACACACATGACACTTCTTGTAGTCTATTTCACAGCATAAATCCTAAGAACAAGAGTTCAGTAACTTAAAAATGACAAAGCACATACTGTAACTATTAACATGGACATCATTAATGGCATATCAAAAGTAAAATCCTGCTGAACATTTTGCATTTCTGATTTGGAAAACACTGTCTTATTATCTATAAAGTCTTTGCATGTTTGAATATCCAGAATATTAGAGGGAAAAATTATCTGCAATTTTGGAACGTGCATCATTCCTTTGAAAAAAAAAACCTGAGGTGGTTTGTTAAGTGAAATTTAAGAAAAAGGTGTACTTGTGAAATCTTACTAATTTTCTTGTCATGCATTGTTTTCAGTTACTGCTTACTACTACAACATACTGTATACAGACACAGTGGTTCACCTAGATTTACATTCAGCACTACTCCACTGTTTAATCTTTCACTCAACAGGTAGGTCTCCAACCAGGATCAGAACCATCCTGGTTCCAAACTGTTCTCCCCCCTGCACTCTGGCAAGCATTGGCTCTGATACTGCACTATTAAAGCATGGACCACTGGACTTAAGAAAAGCTTCAACCCTACTCCAGTACTCATCCTTAAGAGCTAAGTGCAATTCCTCAGACTCAACATACACTATGCCTGCACTATGCACTTTTTGCTTGGTCTACCGTTTTTTTTCCGCTAGTATATATTTATTCTTCTCCACAACAATTATTATGTTTGTAATATACTCTCTGCATTGCGTGTTGTTGTCTGTTGTACTGTGTCGTCTGCTGTACTGTGTATGTCTAAAGAGATCAGCGCAAAAGAATTCTACATGTACTGTACATATGGCTATAAACATCTCTACTCTCTACTCAAAACAAATTTCATCATGCATATGCAGACACACCACTCACCATCTTCTGGAGGGACTGGTAATCATTGGAGACGCACTTGATATAGGTTGGTGGTTCCCAGTAAGCAATTCCCTCTTCGTCTAGGGTGCAGCGGCGGAGAATCAGTCCTAGAAAAACCCAAAGGAGGATCACTACAACTGCTATAGCTCAGGACCTCTTGAAGCCAGGTGTGCCAACTAAGGTCATGTACAGTACCGGGATAGGTACATGTGATTGTGATATATTACACAGTATATTACTGGCAGTATATATGTATATTAGTGGGGAGTCTCCTGCAAGTTCTGGCCACTTAATACAAGGAAGTCATATCAATATTCTTAATTAGAACCTGTTTTTTTCATAGTGATAAAAAATAGTCTGTATAGCCTGAGTTGAGGAATTACTGGATTTAATCTGTAACTACTAGTTTAAAATGTATTTTTATTATCATTTAAAAGATAGAAGTCCTTTTTGAAAGCAACTGCTTTAAACTGGAAACCCTAGCCAGGAGAGCTTAGCATCTGGGCACTGCTTAGTTGGCCTTCTGGTACAATGGAGAGACTGTTTTATTAATGGGCACAAGGGTGTTTGTGACAGCCTTGGCACTGCTTTGGCAGATTAAGCTGTGCCTGTGTCAGTGTGAGCTCTCACCTGAGGCATTAGGTGGGCAGTTCACTGCAGCAGTCTCTCCTGCTGGGGTCTTCTTCCACACTACCTTGGCATAGTTTTCCTCCTCACAGATCTCATGAGGTTCTGCAGGAAAGGAACACAGAATGGTGAGTTCAAAAAGTCATACAACTGATTGAAAAAAGGCACTATTATTCTTAAGTCTTTTTATTACATTATGCTCAGTAAAAGCTACAGACTAAAATCTTAAGGTTATTTAGACTATTTTGTGTTTTTGATTTTTAATATGACTCAAGGAAATCAGTTTCAACAATATGCTGGACTGTTAGCTCTAAACAACCAGTAATTACGTTTGAATCCTGAAAGTAGCTATATTTAAATTCCACTTGCAACTTCAGTTTGCTTTATCATTGAGCTTTTAGTTAGCCCAATGGGTTGCCTTTGCTATTAAATTTTAAGTTTTTTTTAACACTTGAATCAAATCCCCCTATTGCCTCCCCTCAAGAAATTCAGTTCCTTTGCCCCTTTCTGTCATGAAGGTATCCAGGCTATCGATATTAGAAGTTATGTATTTCCATGTATTACATGTATTACACTACACACCTGTATGGCAGGAAAGCCATATACATGACTATCTCTCCAATGCAACAATCTTTCATTCTTAGTTGTGTATCGAAGAAAGGGCTTGAAGCTGATAGTATAATTGTTTTTAGCTGAACCTAACTTCCTGTGAAGACTCTAAGAGCTTGTAGAAAAGCTGAAATCATAACTAAATGTCTTCCAGATTTTTGGTAGGAAGCTAACCTGGGCATCTCTTCTCATTACAACGTCGCACTTCCTCGCGGTCCCCTGGGCATGGCTCTCCCCCAAAAAAGGGTCCAAAGCATATCCTCTGTCTCTTCTGGTTGCCACTATCACATGTTTTGCTGCATGTGCTCCACTGGCTCCATGGCTGCCACTTCCCATTCTCTGCAGGCCAAACGTGTTACAGCATAAGACATGACTAAGAAGGCACATACTGTAATTTAATATGTTCTAAAGACAGAAACTAGACTCATAATAAGAAGCAAAACGCAAAGAGTTAATCACAAAATCTTTCTGTGAGAAGCTGATTTGGCAATAAGAAAAATGCAGCGCATCCCATTCTAAATTGAAATTCTTACACTACACTGTCTTATTTTAAATTAAGTATAGTGAACTTCACCTTGAAAAACAACAGGAACAAATGGAAGCCTAAAAACACCTGTTTTGGGGCTAAAAAGTAATTAAATGCAGCTAAAGAGGCATTAGAAACATTGTTCTTGAACTTGAACCATAGTGGTTAACAGCTACAAGTCTGGGTGCTGAGTATGGGGGTAAGATCACAGTGCCAACCTGGGCATTCTCTCAGGAAGCAGTCTCGGGTTTCCAGCCAGTCACCACGGCACTCAGAGCCACCATAGGAAGGACCATTACATTCACGTGTGCGTTGCATGGTGCCGTTGGAACAGGAAGCAGAGCAGGAGCTCCAGCTAGACCATTCATTCCAGTTCCCATCCACTGTAGGCAGAGAAAGACTCATAAGGGACAGATTCACGCCAGAGATAAGCTTCTACCAATAGTATGACACTGCTGCTTCTAGCACAGCTACTACTGTGAACATTAAAAAAATATGGACTATAAAAAGCTAATAAAAAAACATACATGGGAGGGCAGTGTTGACCATGGCAATTGACGTAGAATGTAGAACATGTGCTGAGTTAGGTGATGATGAGAAGTTTTCAAACTGCAGTGGGATGCAGATAGTACCAGTGGCTAAGGTTCTAGCATTCTATTTAGAAGTCTGGGGGTTCAAATCCTATACTGCTACTGTACCCTTAAAACCACACAATGAAAGGTTTTTCACTAAAATGCCAAACTGCATAATTGGGTTCAAATTTAAGGTTTTCTGGGCAAAAGTGTCTAACACATTAGGAACTAATAATTGTCTAAAAAACTCCACAATGCAATATTGTGTATTGTGACTATGTACTACTGCAACTTCAAAACACTAACTTCAAAATGCTAAAATATATCCATGATCTGGATTACATTAGTTTTTGATTAGTGATATGGTCAAATTACATTTAATTAGTGCAAAGTGCCTCGCACCACACCCCTACAATTTGCACTTGTAAATAGGAGGGTACGCAGGGATTCGAATTTGACAAAAACTCATTAAGCACCAGTGGAACTATTATAGCTGCCTTGCTCTGTCAGTGTAACAACCCTATTGTCTCGGAATGGCAGGGGGGTATTACATGGATGCCCAGCTGATCAGTGTGCTCATCCTTCCTTTCACACTTTTTCAGACTCACATACTGAACAGAGTTTCTGTTCTTTCATTAAGTGCTTCTCTTTCACATTTAACCGAGGTACAGAATGTTTCTACAGGCAGGCTTGGTGTTAAACTCCAACTTTTCCATTTTTTAATTTTCTTTTATCCTCTTTTTAATTAAGTTCCTGTGAAGATCTTGACCTGTATTATCCTTAACTGAACAGTAAGGTGCTTGTATGTGTTGCCAAACTTGAATGAAAACAAAAACACAGCAAGACTAATTGGCAGGTCCTTGAGTAATTCCAATTTAATTCCTTGCAAATTCAACCTCATTAAAATTGATTGAATTTACATGAGAGAACTGGTGTCTTTTTGTCCAATGACAAATGAAGCTTTTGTTAACTAAAAGATATTTAGAACACAAGCATCAGAGAAATTGGATTAACATTTAAAGCTGCCATATGCATTTTCTTTTGAATCTTTTTCATTCATTTGCATTCAAACATCTAGCTGGGCTGTAAATGAGCATTACACATCTTTGGGCCATGAATAAAAAATGTAAAGAACTAGAAGTGACAGAGATATAGATAGAGGAGAGACAGAGAAACAGAGACAAAGATAGGAATAAACATCAGAGCACCGGGAGTGGTTGCAGATCTATTGAGAAGATTGAGGAATGACACGGGAACTACATAGACTTACAGTATTAATACCTTTGTACTTCAGATTAAAAACAGCTTCTTCTTTTCTTGAAAATGATTGTAAAGATTTGAAATAAATAGGTATGTAAATAGGTATAATGAAATTGGGTTTGATTTGAAGTAACCACAATCAGTTTAGGACTGCATGGTGGTGCAGTGTTAGCATTGCTGCATACAGCACTGGGGCCCTGGTTTTAATTCCAGACCTTGGTTACTATCTGTGTGGAGTTTGCATGTTCCCCCTATGTTTGCATATATTTCCTTCAAGTGCTTTAGTTTATTCCCACAGTCCAATCACATACTGGTAGGTTAAATGGTTTCTGGGTAAGCTGGCCCTGGTGTGAGTGGGTGCGTGTCTGTGTTTATGTGTCTGTCCTGCAATGGACTGGTGTCCCATCTAGTGTGCTCCCATTGCTTGCCAGGTTAGGCTCTGGTTCCTCCGTGACCATGTAGTGGATAAATGTTGTTAGAAAATGGATGGATAAAAGGTGTAAAACTTGCACATTAGTAAGGTTATGGTGCTATTGTAGAGCAACAGACAGGCAGAACAGCAGACAAAGCAGCGTACCTGGACAGACAGCGATATTGCAGAACTTGGTCTGTTTCTCAGGGCCATCACATGGATTCCCTCCGTACTGTGGTGGCCTGCAGGTGCGTGTTCGGTCCCGGTATCCCCGTCCACATGTGGAGGAGCACAGGCTCCATGGAGACCACTCATCCCAGGCACCATGCACTGCAATCAAAGCAGCTAGAGTGTGATTTATAGAGGAGAAAGTAACACAGCGCACCCTGCACATATCTCTTTTTGGCAAAATGTTCAGGGCCATTGTAAAGATTACAAAAACTGCAGTGCATTATGATTCTTAATTCTTATACTTGAGTGCTGATTTGTAAATATAATAACTTTATCAAGTTTTTAAAATTGATTGTCATTGAAAATACATTTAAGCCATCGAATGTTTGATCTAGATCTATACTAGATCAGTTCAGTTAGTTATACCCCAAAGATAGAGTGCTCTGAAAAACCCACACTGAAAAACCCACACTCAAGGCCAGTGCAAATCTGATCATCCTATCTTAGTGTTTGATCTCACACAGACAAACAGGGCCAAATGTACTCAAGTGCTCAGTGTATTTTCACTTCTTCATACTTGTCAGAAACCAGTCTAATTCAAACCCCTTAAGATATAGCCTTTCCTAAGCCCCACATTTCATTCTAGATTGGACTTTGTGTTTGCTTTGAATTAACCATGTGCTTCCTTTTACAAAACAATAAATCAGTAAGTTCCTGTTCTGTCTCAATTGCACAAGAATTGATTCTCTATAGCTTTGATACTGTACATCTCAAGAGTATTTCTAAATCCAAATTCATTGTTCCATTGTACGTTTGGAGCCTTCAGTCAAAATAAAGCAACATCTGAGTTTTAGTGTACAATTTAAAATGAAAAAAAGATTCCAATTAAAACAATTATGCAGTGTTAACAAATCATATTTATGTTTTGATCACTTGCACAAAATTGTGCACATTTATTTAATAAAGATAAAAAAACGTAATCAAATTTGCTTCTTTATATCTTATTAATGTTGTAGAAAAGACATGTCAGAACAAGGCTAAATTCTTTTGAGTATTGACAGAAACACACACGTACATATTTTGCAAGGTCTTTTCAGTCATTATTGGAAACTGAGTAGGATTTGTCAAATATGGGCAAGAATTCCTTCCAGAGTGTCCAATATAGAATTGATAGAGAAGTTGATATGGAAGTGATAAAAGAAATTGGTGAGAACAAAATCCAGTGTCATTTTCTTACACACAAAAGGCTCAAACAAGTGGATGTTTGTCTGTCCTAGTAGGACATGCTCTAGGTCAGAGTTAATTGCCATGAAAAAGAGGAAGAGGAAGGGTTTTTGCTTTGTACAAAGCTGGCAAAAATCTTGCACTGGTCACTCCTATTATCAGAAAAATGTAGGATATTTAGTTTCCTGCAGAATTACAGCTAATTAGTAAGATATTGATTGTATAGAGCAAAGGCCAGCAGTTCATAAACTTCAGCTGTTTTCCGAGAATTTTTAAACACATGATGATGGGAACCATGCACTGTTTACACAGTGAAAATTAACCACATGTTTTGTTTCACAATTACTTAAAAAGCACAGACAGGAGAAAAAAAATAGAAACTATCCAGGAATGCACAGATTATTTGCCATCTGTATACTGTACATTGACATTAATCTGAATTGAGTTTTTACCAACTGAGACTAATTGACAAACTCTGTAAGTCTGTGGTAACAGCAGTAAGTGTTGTAAAGTACATCGGAACATGAAAGAGGCAATCCTGTGTTCCCATGACTGAGCTGATCACCACAGAAGTTTGAATTGAAATCCATGTCTTTTGCTGTTGATCTGATAGGAAATCTCTGAACACATAGCTGAAGGATCGTCTTGGCTGTTAAGCCTTTCATACAGTACATGGGATAACTTAATCAAAAGAACAGAGGAGAGGCATCTCATTCGAGGCTGCCGAACATGAAAGGCTTGAAATGCTTCTGGCTAACAGCGTTGTCACTCATTTAATGCACTGAGCCTCAGAGACAGGAGGTGGAGGTAGGGCTGGAGATAGGAGCAGAAGGGTGTAGGGATTGGGCAGGGGACTGGATGTGCTGACCTACCTGGACAGACGGCGGAGTTGTTGCACTGCCTCTGCTCACGCAGGGGCCCGCTGCACTGTGTGCTGTAGGAAGACGACACGCAGAAACGTGTGCGACTCTGCCAGCCCTCACCACACGTGGTAGAGCACACGCTCCAGGGAGACCACTCCTCCGCCGCTGCCGTGTCTATCGTGGGGAAGGGCAGGGATAAGGGGAGGGGAAAGGGAGGAAGGGGAGAGCCAGGCATACACTGTTAGCATGCAGGGTTGTCCTAGACTAAACCTAGGAAACGAGACAGTCCCACACTACAGCCACATGAAACCCAGCCAAATGTACTACGTCTTCTTTAAAACTCCATACAAGAAACTTCAGAGGTCAATTACAATTTGTTTTTTTAAAGCACAGGAAGAAAAATGCTACATAATTAAGCTGAGCAATAATGGGGAAGTTTCACTTAAGGTTTCTGGTCAGAAATCAGTAAAGCAGGTTAGTAAAATTGTTTGACAAATTACAATTTTCTTTTCATAAATCACAAATGAAAATGCAGCAGTTCCATTGCACCTCCCTGATGCTAAATAGAAAACTATTGACTGTGTTTCCTGTCTGTTATCTTGAAAAACCAATTGTATCTTTAACAGTCAAATGGAAAGTTACTCGCTTTCGCTACTGTCACAGTAACAAAGACTTATATCTGTGATCTCAGCTAAGAGGTGTTTAATCATTGACGTGCAAAATTGACAATTAAACAAATGAAGAAAAAACATTTCCAACTGTAGAAGGATGTCATGGTTAAAAGCCTTTGGAAGGAATTACAGCTGCCAGGGAAAACCTCTTCAGACATAGGGAGAGCATGCAAACATCACACAGAGGGCATCTGCCAACACAATCCAAATTATACTACTGACTTAATGCAGGTCTTCCTAATGCATGAACTCAACTTGTTGAAGAAAGATAGCAGACTGGGCAGGTTTGGATCCAAAATTCAGTCAGCTGATACAAACTTACTTCACCCACTGATCCCTGTCAGAGTGAGGTTTTCTACCACTAGCTAGCATCAGCATTTATGTGGTTTGTCTCAGCAGTGCAAAACAGGTCTTTCACTTTATTTCACTTTATTTTAAAAGCCATAATACTGGATTTTAAAGAGATCCCATCTTATTGCTTAAAGAATACATTCTTGTGAACATAGTCCTATAACTTCCAATATTCACTTATAATGTCTCCTGAAAATTAAAATAGTCTTCCCCTTAGGTATATTTTGTACTCGGGGTTCTTCACTGCTACCAAATTCTATCTCTGCAATATCATATTTGTGATATTCTTTATGATATCTGCATATAAATGAAGCAATTTTGCTCTGAAATGAACTTACATCCCATCCAGGATGTACTGCACTGTAGTTACAACTTTACACCTCTGCTAGTGTATGCTCTGTCTCACCAAAACTCTCTAAAGTATGAAGTGGCAAAGGAAATAGGTGAAGGCAGTATATTGTCCATATAAGTCCAAAACTATATTTTCCAAATATCTGGTCAGGTTCTACTAAGACATGCCAATGGAGTACCATGGGTGTCTAATTCAAAAGCTTATCCTCAGTGAACACACAGTTTTGGGCATCATCCAAGGTAACGTGCCAGTGTTTGTATAGAAGTGTGCAAAACAGTGTTCTCCCAAATTATATCCTCACACTCTGATAAACACTCTTGTCAAAAACATTTTTGAACAGAGAGCCCAAATCAACAAAGGCAAAGCAATTGAAAACCTAAATGTAATTTGTATTTGAGAGTCACACTAGTTATGCAGGCTGAGGTACTTCTTTTTTTTCTGAGACTGAGATTCAAACCAAAGCACCTGCACCCATGTGAAGGTACTGTATTTAAGCATAACCAGATGCCCAGGCAGGGAAGCCATGTGTTTACACAATGAATTCACATCTATCATGCAAGCTCTATTTGTCTTCAGCCCACCCCACAATGGCATGATAACACTATTTCTGCTATTAAGAAAATTAAGGACATTCTGTCTCTTGAAAAAATGGCAGGGATGCTGAATCTCCAATTAGGATTGACCTTAGGGTGTGGCTATTATCTCACTATACCAATGGTGCCATTGGAAGCAGAAAATTAATGTCTACTTTTTTTGAAAACCCTGTTTTTAAAAGACATCCAGTATAAAATGTCTCTTGTAAAGAAAACTCTGGCGCACCAAAGTCTATGACCATCAACATCATCATCATGAGGTTCAATGCCTCCCTGGGAGGGACAGACAGTCAACCCATTGCTTACCTGTCTGTGGGGAGAGGTTTCCATAGCGGGGCTGTTCATTGTCATCTCTCCTGCGGCTGTCGATGGAGCGCAGTGACTGGCTTCGGGAGGTATAGCGCACTTTACCTACAGCGGGATAAGATCCAGAGTTAGCAACCTCATATTCTACTTGCTGCATTCCGACAGCTAAGAAACAGCTGTGTATCGCAATAGAATTGTCTCAGGGAAACTGCGCCAGACACCAAACAGTCATGTTGGTGGAATGAGGTTGCTTTGAGTAGCAATTTACAGCATTCTTGTGAATGAAGAAATCTGCTAAAACAACAATCCCATTGTTAAATCTTCAAGCGCTAGCTTTTACTCACATTATATTTCATTCTTATTGTTTATGTTCAAGTAGACGTTTGTACTGTATGTCAGCTCACCATATGCTACCTTGTGTGCAAGCAGCGGCGAAGGAAGGTTGATTTACAAAGTAGCTAGTTCCTGAGATGGTACCAAAGATAAATGAAAAGTGAGACATGCAGAGTGATTTGCATTGAGAGGCAGGGACCGAGGCTGGCATTAGCTGGAGATGCACAGCATGTTCAGGGGCTACCAAACCTGAGATTTTTGCTATAGGAAAGATGGCTTATACTGTGTATCAGGAGAAACTGTACAATGCAGAAAGGGATAATATTGTTTGGTAAGAATTTTGACAGCGTACATTTAGTCAGCAAGTGCTGAATTTCCACAGTAAGATAATCAGACTATGCAATTAACAAAAGATGTTTTCACAACAACCACACACCGAAATGATGACGATCTTTTGTCTTCATCTCAGAAAACCTAATGATATTATAAATAAACAACAATAATAATCAAGCTTCAATCTGTTTTTTCAGGGTTATGTTGTGAAGTAAGATGATTTTGTATAGATAAAATACAGTTAGTAGTTCAGCCACATTGTGAAATTAACTACTATGCCCTAAAGAAGTCAAATTCACTCTATGTGGAGGCCCTTAAAGCTGCAATGTGAAGTATTAATTTCACATTTGGTCTAGAAAGGGAAATGAAGACTCACATTATTCCTCCTTCAAGCTATGTTTTGCTCATTCTACATTTCAAAAACCATACGGTTAGAACAATATTTAAGTAAATCATCAGGTACATAAAAGTGGTATTGTTGGGAAAGGTTCTTTGTAGACACCATTGAGTAAATGGAGCATGCAATGAATATTTTTCACCCATACGTGCATTGTTAGAGCATAATAAAGAGATGTTGTTTCTGTGTAGAAGCTAGAAAAAAAAAAGAAAAGCCAGAATATCATGCTGGGTCTTTCTCTGCATGCACTCCATGGTTGACTTACCAATACAAGGCTGCTGGTTGCAGGGCCGGCCCTCTTCCAACACACCTTCACACAGGAAGGCTTCCTCTGGGGGGGAGTGACAGGTGCGGCTGCGTGTCTGAATCCCTCCTCCGCACTCACTGGTACACTCCGCCCAGCGCCCCCAGCCACTCCAGCCTCCTGCACAACAGACAGAACCGGGGTTAGAAGGGCAAGGAATGACATCCTCCCTCACACACACGTGTATCCTCTCATAAAGTCTCCAGACAAATCCTTGCCTCGCTGAACCTTAGCATACCAACTCACAAATGTCCTCTTAGGGTTAGTGTTTGGCTCAGAGTTAGCCTTATAGTTACTTCTGTGATGTTTTTTCCAGCCGACAAGCTGAAAATGTGATAAAAATGCATTAATGAGGAAGAAAATGTGTATGACTCCTACACTGTTTAAATAAAACATGTCTCTTAAACTTTGAGCTTATGAGCTTCAAAAAATGACTCAGCTGTTGCTTATCATTTATACAGTAAAAAAGGAAAGAATGCTTGGTTAGGTGTAAGCTAAAGACATCCTGAAATCAGCATCTGTTGTTTTATTTTATTGTTATTTTGGAAGGAAAACTGGTAAGATAATAGACTGAACATGAGGAAGAAGTGATGAGGTTCCATCCATTTGGGAAAGAAACGGCATATAGGATTAACTAACAGACTAGAATGTAAACACAATAATTATATAACATCAGATATGGTGTAATAAAACCCACATATTCGGAAAAATGATCTGGAAATGGAATGGAAATCAGATCCCAAATAATGTTTGAATGTGATCTTTTACTCTTCAGTTCTTCACTCATGAATGTTTAATGTGAGTATAAAAGGACAATCTCAACCCAAAGGCACAGACAAATATGTGTTAATCTGCACGAGCAGAACATTAGGATGGCTTCTACCCAGGGACTTATGTTTTAATTACTGTAAAGCAATTACTAAGTGATACAAATCTTACCTGACAGCTGGACTATAAGACTGTAGTTTTGTTGTTGTTCAAAAGAAAAATAATGATTTTCTCTAATCACCAACAGGACACTTAAGCCATTTTCATAAAACATTTACTACCATGATGAAAGCATAGTATCCATGATTCTTCCTAACAGTGAAGTACTTAAAGCATTACTTCAGTATGTTTCTATTAGGTAGTAAACAGTTTAAATATAACTGTGCTAGTTTGTAAGAATAGCAGTTTGCTTTTCCAAAACACACTAAAATTAGTGTGACAGAGAAACTTATATGAAAATGTATATTAGAGCTTAAAAATGCTGTGCGAAATCCTGTGGTTGTAAGGACATTAACTGCTCTTACTCTATTTTCTACAATAATTCTAGTTGGGTATGTGCAACATTTGAAAGACTAGGAACCATAAAATGTCACTGGTGCCTTAGTAGGACTTATAGAGGACTGCTGAAAACCAGACTGATTTGGGTTGTGATTCTGAGCCTGAACATTGAGTTGTTACAGTAACAGTTCAAAACACATGTACAAATTACCTTAGTGCTTCAGTAATGGAGCTAAAAAGACTACCCTACTCTTCACTGTCACAGGACAGAAGTGCTATAATGTTGTCCTATAATAATATAAAATAATAATATTATAGTCGGAAACACACAACATTCATAGAAATAGCCTCCTAACTCCCCCCAACTTTTCTCCCCATCTCCAGGTTTGGAGGATTTAATCCCTGGCCACAATATGTTTTGTTAGTTTTTTCTCTCAGGGTTTTTTTTATTGACACCTTGATTCAGCTTAGATATGTCTTCAATGGACTGATTGTTTTTGGTGCTTTCACTTCAAAAACTGTTGCAATTTTCATCCTACTGCTTTTTTTGTGAGGATCTTCAAATAATTCACCTATTAGGGACAGGGAACAACTAAAGAGCCCTAACAAGGCAAATTATTACATTGAGAGCTGAATGAAATGATTGCATGCTCATATGGAACTAAAATCAGAAAAAAACAAAGTCCAGATAATCAAAGCTAGAAAACATGCTTCAAAGCAATCCAGAAAATCTGAATGACAAGTAGATATTTCAGAACTGTGAGGCCCCTCTCTAGTGAACTACTGGGTACTGTCCAAGGTCCTGAAGTCCTGTACATCACACCATTTATACAATTAATCTTTTAAATCTTTTAAGAAGGAATCTTTAGGTAGCCAATAAATAACACTATTCATAGTATACATAATCTCATTATCTGTTTCCCCACATAACATGAGACCATTCCAAAGACTTTGACTTGACTCATTTAGTAACATTATTGTATGAGTCATGACATGTTCAATGATTAAACTTAATAAACCTTAATAAACATTTTTAAAAACACTCAAATGTGATTTATGTTGAATATTGCAGCAAAACACAAAGGCCACAGCACAAGTTACAAAGAACTGAAATTGCTTTAACTTCTGCAACCATTTTTCAGATGTAATATGATTTTATTGTTCCATTTGGGATTTAATAAAAACATATTTAACAAGCACGAATAAACAGAATCAATATTAATTACTGCTTAAAAGTTCTATTTAGTGATAATTGGTAAATATTAATTGTGAAATTGCCTCCACTGAAGTCTTTGAGATATGGACCATAAAATAGTTGGATGTTCAACAGAAGATTAATCAATACAATTAATTATGAACCCCCAGTACTTAGCAGACTCAAAAACATTTTATGGCTTTTGTCATGAATTTTACCTAGAATTTAATATCTTTTAAATTGTATTTAAAAAAACCCAACTGCACCAGTAATCACTTACTGTATGTTAAAGGCAAAGCTTACTGTAGAAGACAAGATGAGCTCTTTTAGTCCATAGCTACTTTGAGCCCTGATCTTCTGGTCTTGACACAGTAGATCATGAAAGCCTTTAATACTCAATAGAGATATTTATAAGACTAAAGTGTCTTACATTCAAATAATACATTATTAATTGATATCATTCTTAAAACAATTTAAGACATATTTTGAATTCGTACATGGAATGTCTGCTAAAACACAAGGTTTTAGAAAGGTTAAGCTGGATAAATATATCCACACAAGGCATGAAAATCAAGTAAAGTAAGCCCAGTGGAAAATCAATTTACAGATAACATCCTTTCCCTTTTAAAAATGAAACGGGTGTATTAACTTCTTCCACTCAATGGTCATGGCCTGAATGAAAAAAAGAATAATGCAGTGTTTTCTTTTTCTCCCCCAAGGACATTTTACAATGTTTTCAATAATTCAGGATGCTTCTATTGTTCCAGTGTTCCAAAGACTATATTTCAAACTGACATAGCCTTAGCTCTCTGCCAGTTCCTCATCACAACCAGAAGAAACCTAGTTATTCATGTGTAGCCTGTGTTCTGTCAATTTCTACTACTACCCATTTATGACCCTTCTGACTGATTCCTTATGATTCTACTGCTTTAAATAAGAAAGCTACCCAAAGAGCAGTCAGTGATACAGAAAGCAAAGTTTTCCAGTAATTGAAGAATCAGGCTCATGAGGATGTTTCAGGCTCCAACCCCTGGCTCTGTCTTACTTTGTTTTAATAAACACATTGTTCGTAAACATGTGCTTCTTCCTTTGTAGGAGACAAAACAAAGGTACCATTTTAATTATCACTATGTTTCACTGTCTCTCCACTGTAGTGGTAAACAGTGTTCTTGTGATGTTAAAGATTCTGACAACCAGGTGCTGGAATTACTGAAGAGGGACCCAATTTGTGCTGGTGAGTGTACTTCTCAGCCCCAGTTTGTGACCTTGCTGAAGTTTACTTGAGGAAAGTCACCTTGCTCCTCTCTAAAAGCATGCAGTAATGGGGAGCTGAATCTCTGGTGATGTATTGTATTTCAGGCAGCTCTGAAGCAATCGACAACCAGCAGAATGCTCCTACCCCCACCCGACCGTCATCTCGCCGCAATCGATTGGGTGTCCGTAACTGGACCCCGGGCAGACGACAGTATGTCTTTCATCACTCCTGGCTCCTTTTACTGCTCTATTAATACAGCTGAAGAAACAAGGCAGATTCAACGGTCATGGGCACTGAGTAACCAGAGAGACCGCAGGGTTTAATTAACAGCACATGAGATGGAAAGGCAAGGCGTTTGAAAAGTCCTGTCTCTTGTCTGCTTTAGATTACATTTCAACAGAGAACACAACCTCTGGCACTAATGGAGCATGGGGTGGCTTGAGTAATTAGTTTATTTAAAGATATATTTTTATGAGAAGCACCCTATGAATCCATTCTTGCTGCATTATGGACAAGGAGGAGATTCGATCAAGGGGAAAAAGGAGGGATGGTGTAGTCAGCACGCATGTCTTTCAAAAGTTTGTTTTCATTAAACTGCAGTGACAGAAAGTGAGTGTGCTCAACAGAGTGTACTGAGATTGCAGATTAAATGCACCCTAACTGCAGTGAACGGTAGATGAGTCACAGTGGTTGCACTCAATCAGAAGGCACTGTATCACAGTGTTTTCCCAATGTCTGTGGGTCTGTTACACTTCACATTTCAACAATGAGGCCGATAGATCCAAGTATAATACTAAAAAATAAACAGTTAAAAGACAAAAATGATGATTGACAGATACATTTTAAACAGAATCAACAATACCCTCCCTCATCATTGTGAGCCAACAAGAACTAATTAATATGTATTTTTATAATAGATAGATATAACTTTCTTGCAAGATCAATTTTATTATTGCAGCTGTTTGTCTGATATTTCCCTTATAATCTAATCTAATACAGGCTTCATATGTGAACCAGAAAGTCAACAGGAGGCTTTTTACAAGAAATACAATGTAGCACTAAAAATTGTACCCTAGGGTAGAAAAGCTTAGATGAAGGAAGTTTAGTGCCTTAACTTGTCCATTATGTACTCCTGCAGTATAAATATAATATATAAAGTCTCTTGATTAATGTAGCCTCAGTGATTACTCTTGCCCTATGGGCTGTCTGCTGTTAAGAGGTGGGTATGAAGGCGAAACAGCATAGATAACAACATGACACAAGATGTCTGAGAGAAAACAATTATTCAGCCAATGTAGGCCTGCCATTATCTGGGAATTACAGCACCTTTGACCAGCACTCAATGTGTTTTGGATGATCTCACTGTGGGATGTAAGGAGGGAAACATTGGCCCGTCTGAATGTG